CACACACCTCCCCACACACCGACACACCCACACACACACACAGACACACACACACTCTCACACACACACACACAGACCCACCCACACACTCACACCCACCCACCTACACACACACACCCCCCCACACACCAACACACCCACACACACACAGACCCACCCACACACTCACACCCACCCACCTACACACTCACACACCTCCCCACACACCGACACACCCCACACACACTCACTCACTCACTCACACACACACACACAGATCCACCCACACACTCACACCCACCCACCTACACACTCACACACCTCCCCACACACCGACACACCGACACACACACACAAACACACACCAACACATACCAACACACACACACTTACTCACACACACCTCCCCACACACAAACACTCCTCCACACACACCTCCCCACACACACACTGACACACACCAACATACACACACCCACACACACACTCTCTTTTCACACACACACACACCCCTCCCCACACACAGACACTCCTCCCCACACACACACACACACACACCTCCCCACCCCTTCCCACACACACACACTGATACACACCCACATACACACACACACTCTCACTCACTCCCCCTCTAGTGGGATGATGGTAGATGGCATCAGCCTGTTGAGCTGTCTCACAAATACTGACACACAAATAAACACATGGGCATTACGTCCTGCAGTAGGACTTGAACCGTCTGTCTGGAGGTAGAGATGCTCCCACTGCTCCACAAGGCGTCCTTGCTAAATGGCAATGATCAGCCATGATTGTATTGAATGGCAAAGGAGGTTTGACGCATAGGGATGTTTAATCCTGTTCCTAAATTTGTGTATGGTCTACCAGCAGGAAAACCCCATAGACAGACCAATACCAGACTAGCGCAACAATATTGTCAGTCTCCCTGAAAGTACAGACAGGAGGATCAGACCCTCCCATTCCCTGTGTTTTACCTGTGGACCTCACACACCAAGGTCCAGAGAGAGATGGACTGGGTGGAAATGAAGGGAGTTAGTGGCCCCATCCTCATTAACCCCCACCTGAGACACGTGTAGAGATTCCCCAGAAAGTGCTTTCTTCCTTGTGTTTCTTGGGAAGGGGAAAAATGGAACTTTTCACTTTTTGCTGAACTGTCTCCACCTTGAGGTGGCTTGGGATACTGCACTGTTACAAAATCATCAGCATGTTTCAGCAGGGACCTATAATATAACATGATTCCGACTTTCAAAAACTGAGACTGAGTTTAGATAAGAACAGTTACACCAACTATCCATTCAAATTGGAACAATAGCACTGTTAGTAATTATGAGGGAATGTGTTCCCAGTGAAGCCGTATACATGTCCTTCTCTGTTACAGTTATCATGGCATTTTTTTATTCATTCATGGGATAAGGACATTGCTGGCTATGTCAGCATTTGTTACCCAGAGGGCAGTTAGGAGTCTGGAGTCTGATCTAGGCCAGACCAGGTAAGGATAGTTGACTCCCACTGTGGGTTTTTCCCAGAAATCGACGATGGATTCGTAGTCAT